GGGGCTATTAGGTATACATCTCAAACCGGCTGAATTATTCTTAATATTTAATTACCCCAATTATGCAATTCTTGATTTAATATATGATCTGTTTTATTGTTATTATTATTTTATTCATACAAAGAAAAAAAAAACGAAATCTTGGAGCAAGGAACGAGCACGGATGACAGTGGTTATCATTAACTTAATCTTCAAAAAGTTTCTAGAATTAATTGTAACTGTTTTAATTTTACACAAGCTACGTCGGCGATGTGTAACCGCGATAATCTTAAATGAAATGCAGTCATGTCTTCAATAAATATCATTATCCAAGATAATAATAAATTATATTTAAGAAACTGCTAAAATAGTTATAAATATCCTATTGTGCAATAAACTTATCGGAAGAGAAAACACGTTTGAAGAACCATAAATTTTAAATTTCACGGACAGTCCGTTATACTGGACTAAGGATGGATAGCATTTTGTAATTATTAATAGTAACATATGGTTAGGTATAATTTAAAAAATTTCCATTCTATATTGACATGAATATTTTAAACGAACTTGAAAGAAATTTAGCAAACATATTTTACCATAACTGCCCTTATAACGCGGTTTTAATTCATACACCTATGATCGGTAAAATTTGTGATTTAAATAATACTTACATATAACTTATGCCTGATGAAGTAATTTACAAAATAACGTTAATAAAATTATTTATAGTTTGTGTATTTTACATGTGCACATAGTAATAGAATCTTGGTTAGAAGCGCCCATTCAATTAAATTATTAATTAACAAGTTAATTTGCTGTTCTCTTGTTAAAGAGAACCAAATGAGTGTAGGCCTGTGTAGTAAGGCAAATTACTACATGCTGTGTTCGTTATGGATTGAATAGCGAGCTATTAACAGTGTCTGCATTTAAACTACTAAAACTAAAATTGATTTCTAGAACAAACGTTTATTGTATACCTACATGTTTAGTATACATATCTATTACTTACACCTTTGTGTATTTATTAAGTGACCAATTTAAACGGTAGACCTAAGTGATTTAAAATTAACGTTAATCAATATTTGATCTACAATTACGCTACGAGATCAAACGTTTTTTCATGATACAGAATATTTCCTGGTATTGGATGTCGGAAATATTCCACTTGTAAAACTGTGCAGAAGAATTACTTCATCGATCTGTGTCAATATTTTTTTTTCCCAACGCACCATTAATGAAAATATAAATTCTATGTAATTTGAATAAAGCTACACCTAATTTATTAAGCGGTAGATTCATCTATCTTAGTTGTTCATATTACTTCAAATGTATATATTGTTTTTTTAATTCTGAAACACTCGTTGACAAGATGATCAATCATGCACCATGATAGGTGCGTGCAAATCAATTAAATAAGTGTTTCAAAAAAAAATTAATTACATCTACGAGTAACTTATGCGTCACTATATGAAATGCAAAAATGATTTGCAACTAACAGAGGAGCTGAATTGAAAAGAGACTATGCTCTGTTTGGTTTAACTATTTTCTGTAATCCTATATTTACCGAAATTTTAGTTAGTCTATGGGTAAATAGTTATTTCTGTAATTAGTACTATTTATCACACAAAGATAACTGAACTGAATAATTCGAAAGAACCAAAAAGTTTCCGCGGATGAAGGACACAAAAGTTTCTGAACAACTAATCTTCCTATGAAAAAATTTCCTTTTTAAATATAGCACTGTTTAAAGAGATTTTTTATTTTGGATTTTTTATTTGGAATAACGTTTGTGAAGAGTATTAACTATTCGAATATACTCTTTAGGTGATAATTAAAAATGTATCTTAGTAAACAAACTTTGTCATTAAAAAATTGTTTTCTTGTAGAAAAAACAGTTTGTACAAAGGCAACAGAAAACGAGCTAAACAACATTAAATTTAACTAAATACTTGAAGAGATGAAGTTATTTTTACGCAGATTATATTTTGGCAACAAATTTTTTGGTTTTTTCTTTTACAAATTACTAATTATATATTTTTTGGCATTTCAAAGGTTGGGTAAGCAGGTATATTGGCGACGTAGTATAAACATATATACTTCCCGAAACTACCAAATCGATTGCTTTCAAAATTTAACTGTATTTTAAAATTCCGGTAAACATAATATTAATGGTAACATAAAAATATATTATTAAAAAATTAACACTTGAAATGTGTAGCGTGATATGCTCTTTTAACTGTTAAAAATTTTATAGTTTTATATCAGAGGTTCAGATGAATATGGGTACTACATTACAAATTCTTTTAAAAATTAACTAGGTGTACCTATATTTATACAGAATTGTTACTTTTTTTTGTTTGAGAGATATACCTACGTTAAATTCAAAACGTCCTCATTTTTTGGGGCACATCATTAACGAATCTTGAAATGTATCTTTATATTTTAGTATAAAATTTCAGAATCTATATTTTTTGACAACGACTTGCTCGTACACTGTTCGAATAATTGACATTAATACATTATTCTTATACGCTAAAACTATAACGTAATTAGCACTTAACATGGAAGATTTAAACATTTTTGTGATATCTTATTCAACATTTCCAACTCATGTCACAAATTGTGCATAAATAAGTTGGAGATTTTAAACCTGAAATTGTTATATTGAAGAAACTAGTATATTGTTTTTTTTTGTATTTAAGCTACAAAAATTGTTATGAAAATCAACGTACTTAAGAATAATTTATCGCATTGGGAAGAATTTGTCATGTACTGCTTGGTTATGAAAGTAAAAGAAGACTTTTGAGCACTGTTTACAAAATAAGCAACAGTTAAAAATTGAAACAAAATCACTTAAAACACGTGAAGTAAACTATCAGGTAAACGATCATAATTTTGCTTTTTACGTGAATTATTAACTAACTATTTTGGGCCGACCTCTAGTTCTTAACGTATCTATATCGTACAATAACGAAAATGCCATACATGAAAACATAATTTTAACAATACGCTCTCAAGAAACACCAGATGAAGTCGATAAACTGAGATAGCGCGAACTTTAGGTATATGTTTGGAACTTTTAACTTTGTAATGGATTAAGGATTCTGCCGGATTACAATTGTTTTGGCAATATTTAAATAAGATTTGCTCCCTTGTTTTGATAAACATTTTCCATTCGCGGATGACGCAGTTCTAGCAAAACTGAGGTGTAAACCTTATTTAAACGTCATATTCCGGAAACAGCCGACAAGATTTCTATCGTTGCCTCTATTAAGTCCAAGTGATGGTATGCAGTGATGAGATTACTGATAAAATAACAGTATTATTATTGTTAATATTGTTATTACTTTATTGAAAATGACAAAAAACCTATAGTTTATTGCACTATAAAAATCTAATAAGAACTAACTTTTAATCTAAGATTTTGCGAATTGTATTAAAACATGTCAATATTACAGAAGCTTTTTAATCATAAAGTGGTGAGATCAGCAGATTTTAGCCCGAGACAAATATAATCGTGGAAATGACGGTAACTAATAACTAGATGTAAGTACATACCTATTAGAAAAAAATATAAGTGTAACGATCGCGCGTTTTCAAGATCTGAATGCAAAATTAAGCCAACATATAAAAACATTTCTAGAAGCGCCAACGACAACAAAAATACCATTGTCTTTGCTGTTCTCAACGAATCAGTTTTTCCTTACGACAGTTATGCCATTAATAGTATTTCCTTGAGTTGGTTTCGTAAATATTAAAAATGGTTAGATAATTTGAGTTTCTCTTTATTTTGGATAGAAGCTAGTTTAATACATCCAACATAAAATATTTGTACTTGATATGTAGGTATTGTATTAAAACGATAATATACATAAATAAAAAGATAATTGTCATTAGTTTATTTGCATCACTCATAGCCACATTAGTCCGTAACTGCTGCACGTAATAACTGTGAGGGTGTAGAACACAACACAAACATACAATTACTACTTTATTGCTGTCACGATGCAGATATTAAGTGTTAATAGACTCTTCAAGATATTTATCCGAATGTATTAATGCATGTTTCTGATTGCAAAGTAAAATTACCAGATCTATACACATCCCAGTGGAAATTAAGTAGGATAAAAAAATCGTGCGTTGTAATGTAGGTGCGCACATTTGATGAATCGTTAACAAGGAATAAACAGTCACATTCAGTGTTTTCAATGCATAAAACTGAGTTAAACGTGACTTGTTTTACGTTATTATTAGTGAAATTGATCTTGTTGTTAAAAAAAAAAGATTTTTACATCACTCAGCGCAATAGAGAAACGCCTGGTTTTGTAAAAATACTCTTCTTTCTCTTTTATAGCGGTCATCGTCATGTATGCAGGAATTTTTCTTTATAAACGATAATTACGATTCCAACTCACGCACGTGTAATGCCGTATCGTATAGCAAGTCACCATAATTCACAAAGAATGTGTGTTAACCGTTTTATTACGACTTTAATACTAGAACAATAGCAATTGTTGATTTCGGACACAATAGCCGCGGGAGCAGTGGGCGTTCGCCGCTTCTAGTTTCTAGACCGCGACAACCCGTGCATGAACATTTGGACGCATATTCCGTTTTGCCTAACTTACCTAAGGTTAAAAGGTTAAAGCTATATTGTCAGTACTGATGGCTCTGCCATCAATCATTCAGGATGCACTTACGAAGTAATTGTCGTCATTTTCAAACAAAACATCAATCAAATCCAACGAAACAACAAAATCTCGACTGCGGACGGACACACTCCATAAACATTTTGGAACAGTTAAATCGTTTGAAACTTTCGCTAATTTTTTATTAACCGGAATTTCACTATTTAGGCTATGCTCTCAGACATTCCTACACCACATCGTCGAAATTGAATCAATTCACTGAGTAAAAGTCTCTGCTCAAGTACGCAACAGAAAAAAATGATAAAAATTAGTTTACATAGTAGAAAAAAAAAAGAAGAACTACTAGTGTAAATATATTATGATAAGACTTACCACAGTAAATATGATTCTGGAAATAATGAAAAACCCCTAAAACATGCTTTGTTGAAGGTCACCACTCACTGAAATTTTGTTCCAATAAGCGCAAAAATTTAATCATTTTGTCAAATTATTAATGAAACACATCTTAAAAAGAAGGCAGCAGGAATAAAACATGCAAGACCGGGCCTCCTATCCCATGCGAACACAGGTCACGATGAGACTGACTTTGGTTACGGCCAGCTTAGTGGTGGTCTAAGACGGTTTCCTCTCTTTGTTTCACTTTTTCCGTAGCGTAAACATACAGGGATGTTGATGAGTTCTTAAGTGACCAATCAGCGGCTATAAATCTGTGGTTACGAAAGAGTGTTCACGTTCATTCATAGTATCACACGCATTGCGTGAGAATTCAGGAGATTCCAATGGTGCGTTACAACACGAACGTCTAATGAAAACTGAAAAATATTTCCGTGCAGTACTGCTCCTTAACAGTTTTGAAATACCGTGTAATAGTTCATGAACGTATATTAAAAGAGGAAATTTCTCATAAAATAAAAATAATTTACTCACAACCTTCAACCTGTTGTTTATTATTATACTTAGTTTAAAGATTGATTTATACAAGACATCAAAAGGAGCCTTAAAAAAATTGTACGCATTGAAAGATGAGACAGTAAATAAAAAATCGATCTTCTGTAATTTATTTGCACTGTTTACGGGATATTTTAGCCTGATCTTACGAAGTCCATTGGTCGTAAAACTTTTCGTTGGGTCAAAAGCGCACGTTCGGTACAAAGTTTTCGTGTACTTTTATATCAGTCTCTTATAACAGATGGCTTAAAAATCATGTTGAATATGTCTGCGTGATTCACATGTTATTCCCAATTCGTATAAATTGGTGGGATAGGTTACATTCATAATATAATCATCATGTTGTTGACATAAAAGTCATATTTCAGAGTGCACTGGCTGCAGCAAATAATACCGTGATTAACTGAAGTTCTGTAACGAGAAAATTATGACATAATAAGTGGCGGTGGTGATATACTCCATTTACATTATTAAAATATTCGTATCTGAAGTCCGTTCCGATTTGACTTGATAGCGTAAAAAACCCGTAAGCAATGCATTTTATATGGGAGAATTCGGGGCGGTGTTGTCAGTTATCCAAAAACCTATCAATTTCTGAAAGAGTTGATAAAAAATCTTACACACATTATAATAAAGTTTTTGTTATTCCGTTTTTATTCGTGTTAAAATTTGATTTTAATATACTTACTAAAATTTCACAGTAAACCGAATTATTTCTAGATTTTTATAGGTAATTTTAAAATTGCAGATTTTGATTGTTTATCACATCATATTTCAAAAACTATACACAATTTTTTTAACTATAATATAACCAAACAGTACTGACTTTAGCAAAGACATTTTTACTGTACTAGTGTTTTTAAATTTCTACCAAAAAAAAATCTTTCTTTGTTGCTTGCACAAAAGGTGTACCTACTGAAATTTTCAACATTCGAGTTTTTTTTATTATTGAAAATTTTAAACTCAATCAGCGGCAAAGTTGTATATTTTGGTCTAAAATAATTTTTGTAATAAAGAAATATTTGACAGCGAGCTTTGTATTTGAAGTAATAATTTTTAAACTCGAGCGATGTCTCGGATGCGGCACATTAACTGAAGTAATGTACGAGTTGCTTTCAAACATACTTAATTAGAAAAAAACTTGTTATCGATTATGTTCATTATTCAAAAATAATTTCAGTGTAATAACTATTACTTTGCCACTTATCAATTTCAATATTTTCAGTAATGAAAAAACCTGGTTTAATTATATTTTCGAAATGCGTTCCGTATAAGTAGCGAAAGATTTTTTTAAACAAATGTAAAGACACGAATACAATCACAGTTACATTGCTAATAACAGTACCGTTAAAAAACTAAGGCAAAACTTGAATATATGCAATAAATAGCAGAAAAATTTAGAAATATGAAAATTCAGAAAAAAAATCGACTAAAAACGAAATTAAAAATAATAAAAATCGCATTTTAACACTAATGGGTGCGGAATGATAAGAGATTTTCCAAATTCAAATTCCGACTCTTGAGTGTCGTTAAAATGTGATTTTTATTTAAGTGCCACAATTTCGTTGTAGGTATGTCGATTTTGTCTTGAATATTCAGTTTTAAAATTTAAGTAATCTCCATAAATACTTAGCACTGATTCTAACAACGGAACTGTAATGTAATTGCGTTCATGTCTTCAAATTAAACAAAAAGCTTTATTTGTTACTTATACGAAGCGTGTTTCGAAATTTTCAGTAGAAGAGATTTTTTATTGCTGAGAATTTTTCATTTGATCTGCGATGAAGCGGTAGTGGAATTATTTTAGAAGTAGAAATTATTAAAAAAAATGAAGGTAATCAATCAAACATCTTTTCTTTCAGTTAGGTATGTTTGAAATCAAGTCGTTCCGCAAATAATGCGTAAATGTACATGTGTCAGTTAATGTGCCGCATCCGAGTCATTGATCGAGTTTAAAAATTTTTAACTCGAAGACAAAGACAGTTATCAAATACTTCTTCATTACACAAATTATTTGAAACCACACTCTATCATTTTGCCACCGACCGACTTTAAAATCTTCAATAATAAAAAAAACTCGCATCTTAATTTTTTTATAGAAATTAAAAAACTAGTATAATGAGAGTTACACTGATAGAATTAGTAGTGTTTGGTTAAATTACAATTAAAAAACTAAGACAAAATTTTGAATAGTTTTTGAAAAATGACATGACAAAAAACGCAATTTTAAAACTATGAAAATTCAGGAAATAATAATTGAATTTACTATGAAATTTTAATATGTAAAATCAAATTTTAATACGAACTATTATGCACAGAAGAGGAATGACAAAAACTTTATGATTATTTGTGTTAGATTCATGTATCAACTTCTTCAGAAATTGTAAGTTTTTGGATAATTGACAACACCGCCCGAATTCTCCCATTTAAAATGCATTGCTTACCAGTTTTGTACGCTGCCAAGTCGAACCGGGACGCACAATAAACCAATCTCTTCATTTTCTAAAAAAAAATTAGTATAACACGAATGTTTGCACAACAACTGTTTAGCTTGTACCAATGACCTAATTTTTTTTAAGTTCTGAGCGTAATTATTTTTAGATACTGCAAATTTTAATACGAAAAACTCTCACTCATTGTGATGGTTAAATTATATTCACGCAGTTGTGGTTTTACCTGACTATAGTAACAATGAATATAGTACCAACAATATTAACCAAAAACGTATAAAATACAACACAATATCTGTAGAACTTCGTTAACAAATAGCAGTAAATTTTTTATCATTAATGTACCGTTAATTTGGATATTTTGTAAAAGTTTTGAATAAAATAAACCAATTTTTCAAAAGAAAGCGTTGTTGCAAATAACTCCCTTAAAATTGTATTAATTTAAGACCACTGAAACGATAGCGCAGTATTTTATGATTCATTGCTGAAAATATTTGCTTGTTTTTTTTTTTTTTTGTATTGGGGCTAAAGCGATATAACTAAGTAAATTAGGAAAAGTAATCATTTTACGAGTTTCAAATTTTATATTAATGGAACACTGCTAGGTAGACCTCTAAATGTTAGGTAAATATTGGCAATAAATTAATTATTTTAATGCTGTTTAATGGATATACACCGATTTTAGAACACGTGAAATATTTTCTTAATTAAAGCAGCTTTTAAATAATGCAGTAATACGCCATAAGGAGTATTATTGTTACATCAAGTATGAACCAAAATATGAATAACATACGTCAGAATCAATTAAAATACAAAAGTAGAAATATTCCTATTTCATCCTTAATGGACATGCATAGTTAACAAACTTTAATCATATTTATGGAGAAAACAACCGCAAATAAATAGGATCTCCCATTATTTCATTTGAGCCTTATAAAATAGAAAGGCAAACAAGCAGTTGTAACAGCAGCAACTCCCAGGAAAATTTTCTTAATTTTCTTTGATTTCTTGATACATTAAAACGAGTACTGTAAAAGATAGCACAAGAGTGGTTTGGTTATTAGGTGCTACTCGTGAATTTATTTACATGTAGTTAAGATTAGAAGATATTGGATTTCAAACAATTCACGATACCAGTGTACGAATACCGCCACATGTCAATGTGATTTTAAAATTTGCACATAAAAATATACATATATCTAAATAGATACAGTCTAGTGTCTTATAATAATGTTTTATTAATGTAAAAAAATTGGTTTAAAACTACTTAGGCTCAAATGTAGAAGACACAGAAGGGGAGTGAATTATTAAGTTATAGGTAAAAAACTTATGCTACACATTTCACATGAAGGGACTGGACAATTAAAAATAGAAAAAAGTTACTAGTTCTGTGGATTCACTAGTTTTACCTGTTTAATAAAGTAATAGATCATCAGTAGACGCATATGCAGACACTGCATATTCGGGTTCTACAACCGGTGAAATGCTATGAAAAAAAATTAAACATTCGTCAAAATGACTAGTACATATAGTACTTGACCATCACTTGCAAAGTAAAAGTTAAATACATACTCCAAATATGTACAAAAAAAATAAATAAATAAGTAAATCTAAATATTTGAAAGTGATTTTGAAGTATATTAAAATTAACTTTTATATCAACTTTTGGACTCCGTGTGCAGCAGTACCACTGTACTATAATCTACCACCTATTTTGCGGTTTAAAACAATATCGAATACTTGAAAATTTTACTTATTTTATTTCGACTCGATAATGATATGAAAAGAAAAATTAAATGCTTTATTTTCATTTTTAGGTAGACCTATCTACGCCCACGTACTATGGTAAAAATAAAAAACTTTAAAGTTCGTGAAATTTTTGAAAACTGCGTAACTGTAAACGATACTAAGTATAAATCGCATGAACAGACTTTTGAAAGTGCTACAAAAACTACAGCACAATGAAAAAAAACCAACTTGTTTTTTCGGAAAAGTAGCGTGTACATGCCGTGCAACTTTCATAAGATGAATGTTGCAACAAACACCATGAAAAAGCGGTACTTTCCTACACGAAAATAAAACTATAAGCGCTGCTGGACATACAGCTCGCACACTTGCGATTATGTGGGTATTCTATTCGATGCTTAGCTTACATCATTTATTTA